GTCATACCCAGCTTCCAACTCAGCCAGATCATCCTGAAGTTGATCGCGCTCCACTGATACAGCGGCAAGAGCAGCGTGCAGGTGGCGAACCGTGGTCTGAGCCTTGGTACAGTCTGCCTTGTACTTGGCTTTCTTTGATTTGACCTTTAAGAGTACGGCTTGGAATCGAGCGTACCCCTCATCCATGTGTCGTCCCAACGAAACCAGCTCGAGATCATGACGTTCTTTAAAAGTATGCAGTGATCGAGTTTTGCTAAAAAGTCTCGAAATTAGGTCGCTAATTTGCTGCTCGTAGCAATCCCCTGCGCGAATTGTCTCCTGAAGAAAGGCGACTTCAGCGAGTGCAATTTTCAAATCCAGACGAAAGCGATCACAGCGAGTTTGAGCGAAGATCACAAAAGGAGAGGCCGACTCGGTAAGAGAACGAAGTTGCTGGGATGCGATCCACTGATAAAGTCCAGCGATCATACCAACCGCGGTCGTTTCATCAACTATTGGTGTTTTAACTCGAGTAGTCGGCAACGGAATAGACCCAATAGGGTCGCCACTTGCAGAAAAATTGTCGACGTCATTAAGCGTTAACGCGAAAATCATCGGATCAGGGGTTGTAGCAGATTCTTTGACCCCAAACGGCTCGTCACTTGCAGCAGAACTGTCAAGGACATCATGCGTCAACGTGGAGCCGATCGGTTCCGTACTTGAAGCGATGTCCTCAGCAGCATCGAGTCCCAAAGCAGGACCGATCGGACCTCCGCTCACCGTGGTACCTTCAACCGCGTCTGTAGTGTAGTCGGGGCCAGTTGGGTGCTCGCTTGGCGAAATGTCAATACCGACCGAAGGTGCGGGACCAGATTGCGTCATCACCGAGGGAGATGGCGTACAACTAGTTGGTGGCAAGCTGGGTGTGGACGACGGCGAAACCATGAAAAGCAACGGGAGGATAAAACTAAAAGTGGTGACTAGAACGTGCACTAGCGAGCCAGATGTTGCAGATCGGCTATTTGTGCAGGGAACGATTGTGGTAAAATCGATCGAAATCGGTGTCGTAAAATTCAAACGAATGCCTAAGTACGGAGTGGGAACCGGCGGAACGATCGTGGGACGAGGACCAATCATATGGATGGCACCGTTGGGATTATTCACGGAAGTATTTCATCCAGTCAGAACGGTTCCGAATGGCGAAAGGGACCGCGATCTGGCGTGGGCCATGCCCTGATGCGATCAGACGGTTGGTGTGTCAGGTCTGTGCCACATAGGTACAAGGAGCGATCTGTAGAGGCGACGCGCAGCATCTGATTTTCCGAGTTATAGGGGTAAGGTGTGAGAGTCTAATTGGTTAACATTTAACAGAGTTCAATTTGCTTCTAAACACATTCCTGTCGATCTTCTCCCGGGTTGGATATTTTGGCCTCCCGACGTCTGAGAATCTCGACATCAAGGATAGAACGATCACTCCTGGAGCTATTCGGCCAGGAGTGCTAGGACTCTCAACACACCCCTAATGCGATCGGACGCAGCCAACCGTATCGGTTGAAGTACAAGATCGCGAGACGGCTCAAGTGGCCAGAAAGGCTCGCGACTCAAGTACACATTTTGGCACAAGGTGATCAGGGCAGATCACGGCGACTCTAGGAGAGCGCCAACCCAGAACACGCGATCGGGTGAGGATTTTCCACCCGATCAGCACTAGTCTCTACAACGGTCAAGTTTAGCATCTCGTCGAGTCCACCTAGAAGAGTGCAACCCGCCCTGCCGACGGGTACTTAAGGTGACGAGGAAACAAGTGAAAGCGGAATCGGAGTATCCCCTCCGTTAGTCGATCGTCTGGGCGTTAGTGGAGAGTCGGGATCGCTTCAAAAAATGAGCGAACCCCACTCCACCGCATCTGCATTTGAGTGCACCATGACGTATTAATTAACCGCACTTACCGCAATTGCAATTCTTGATGATATTATATCTGCGAACAGTGATCAGTTCTTTTAAAAATGATGCGTAGACTTTCGCTTGAATCCTTGAGCTATGAGTTCAAATTGCTATTATGATGCTTGAACATCCCCTGACTTACTTCGAGGAGAATGTTTTCCTAACACCTACGATTACCTATTACACTCCATGTGTAACGAGATCCCACGTCGTGATTTTGGCGTATGATGGAAGCTCTTTGTCAATATCTTTCGCCATTAAGCTGCTTCTATACTGTAATGGGCCACCCCGTTACGTAAAGTAGTTTCGATTAAGTTTACCTGTTGCTGAAGTAGGGGGTTACTTTCGAAGTAGCGAAAGTTGCATGTCGTATGTTTAGCTGGTTTAATGGGCTCAGTACCACATTCAGCCAGTAAGATATAGGCACGTAGATTGAGTGGTTCCCATGAGTCCAAGGGAACCATTCGTACTTCGGATGATTAAAAGACAAAAATAAAACAGAGTTAAAGTACTTAGTACCTAAGACTTGGGCTTTGAGGCTTCTTCAAAGCGTAAAATAGTGTAAGCTAAGTACGGGTTGTTCTAGCCCCGTTAAACCTATTTAATCAGTAGTCCTTCCCTTGACCGAGTTTAGAATGAGCGATTCGTCGTACTTAGACGCTTGAGACGTGAGTCTAAAGCACTCGACTTTTCCCCATCTCACTGGTGTTGAGTGGGATGTCCTTAATCGCCTCGCGTAAATCTGGAGAGGCTTTTAAATCAGCGACTCCTGATGGACAGCGTCTCGCCATACACGACTACATGGCTCGCGATCTCACCGAATCTAATCGGCGAGTTTTAATTCCCTCGCAGACTTCACGGAACGATGCCGTGCAGATGATGACCTCCTTCTACTCTGGCGAAGGAAAAGAACGCTTGTTGTTGTCGCGTTGGTTTCAAGATATTGACATCGCTATCGCCTCGAGACTTCTCGAGGCTCTTCAAAGAAAGGTCAACTTCCTCTTTTCCCGTCTCACTGGTAAAGACAAGGTGTGGGCCTTGGGTAAACTCGTTGCGGACAATCATGCGTTCCCCACTTTGAAAGCCATCCAGAGTGACCTTCGACTCGCCTTCGAGCCGCCACAGGAAGAGAAATTGGTGCGATCAAGGTTCCTGTTCTTGCAATAGGGTGAGATGTCCATGCGCGACTACGTGCAGATGGCTCGACATCTGGCGTTGTGCACTGTCACGCATCCCATGGACATGTACACACAAGTGAACGTGTTTGTCGATGGCATGCATGAAGGGCAGACTCGCCTATCACTGGAGCGCGCGGAGTCTGCAACGTTAAGGAAAGGCTTTCTCTATCGCCCTCCGTGAAGCCTTTAGAGTCACCAAGGCCTACACCAAGCCTTCAGTTGTAACCGCTGTCAAGTAAGCGGGCCCGGAACCAATGGAGATCGATGCAATTGAGTTGTCGGATGACCGACGACGCGCTACGTTATACGAGGGCGACGTCCGTAGCGGACTAAATCACTTTATTCGTGGAAAATACGTTTGATTAGGTATTTATTCTTGAAAAACATCCCGCTCAAAATATGGAACTACACTTATATTTTAAAAATTAAATAAATTGAAATCTTACAGTTGATCTACTTTCGAAGCCGAAATCCGGGACATCGCGCGGTTGAATGCCGCGCACCAGCACCGATTTTGGTATACGCGACGGACACCCATCATGAGGGAGGTGCTCTGCTAACTCGTCAAAAAAACGGACGAGACCAGAAGATGCAGGGCGCCCTACTGGTTTAAGCGGAGGTCCGGGTCCACCGGTGGAAGCCCGACACCCAGCCCATCTGTGCTGCGTGCACGGTCAAATGCCACCACTCCTAGTGGTGTTTCACAACTGGTTATTGTTAATCTATACGTCGCCATTATTCGGCGACCTCTACGAGCGCTCCTGGATTCAGGAGCGACAAAACATTTCTGCCTTGAATGTTGCGTGTCAAGCTGCCAACCAGCATCCAGATCCACGAGAGACCAGGCCAAGTTGTTTTCAAGCTCGCTGACAGGCAACCACGCCGCGTACCGCGGCGCGAAGTTTCGTTGCCGTACACGTTTGATGGCTTTCGCAGTAACAACAATTTCTTGGTGATAGAGATAAATAATGAATTCGATTGCATCCTGGGCATGCCTTATGTGGCACGCTGTAAGCCCCAGATCGACTGGTTATCCATATCAGTGAGACGTCGAAGCCAGTTCGACGTCAGCGAAGTGTTCGCCCATCGCTTGGTGTCTCCAAGGGATTGGCCGAACGTTACAGTCGTGGATCGTGCATCCACGACACCGGCGGTACACAGAGTGAGCGATGGCCCTCTCAGTGCCGCTTGTTTCGTGCCACTACGCACGAGTGACAATATCTCCTTGCTGAAAAGCGAGGAGTCCGACGTGGACGGGCAGTGGCTCCCGCGTAATGACGACGCGGACGAGCAGTGGCTCCCGCGCGAAGACGACACGGTCGAACATAGGTTTCCGCACGAGAGAGAAGTGGTCGAACACGAAAAGGTGTTCCCACCTACACCCATTTTGGTCGTGCAGAGGCTCCCACAAGGGCAAGATGTAGCCGAGCAGGGGCTCGCCACCGAGTGTGACGTGGATGGACAAGATTCCCGCGTGCGAACATGAGGGTAGAACATAGGTTCCCATCATCGCCCACTGCGATCATACCGAGGTTCTCACATGAGCAAGACGTGGTCGAGCAGGGGCTCTCACACGAGTTTATGGCGGTCGGGCAGGGGCTCTCGCATCATGCGTCGACGGATGAGTATGGACTACTCCCGTCCTGCGGTTTCGACGTCCTGGATGAGTATATCCAGGGTCTAGACGGGGGTGCAGATTTAACACCTGACTGCGGTTCGCCAGCTTCGAGCATGGACTCGAAGCACGATGGGGACGCAAGCTACGAGAACTCAGAGTTGGAATGCGTCTACGCTATTGTACACGTGGACGGGAGTCCACAAAGGCGCCAATATATTGAGGTCGCGAGTCCACCGCGCGACGCGGCGTCGATTACGTGCCTTCCAGCACTCTCCTACAAGCGTATTCTATGCGACCTCAAGGGAGGCACGGTGGAACAAGTATGTCTGGTCGCCAACGAGGTAATTCAAGAGCCGAATGATAAGCGAATGACGCACCCTCGAAGCGCTGAACAAAAGTAGCGCGCGAAGAGAGATTCGCGTCGCATTCTTGGGAGGCTCTGCGCGAGTCTGGTAACCCTGTCTACGACATTGGTCGAGAGTACGCCGACGTAAACCCGGACAAGATCCGGCTGAACTTCTTGCCGATCGTGGCGTGCAACACGAGATTGATTTCGTGCCAGAATCAAAATATTGTGTGACACGCCAGTGGCCGTTGCCTCAAACCCAAGTCGAGGCTATTGATGCATTCTTTAAAGGTCGTTGCAAGGCCGGTCATGTGCGTGAGAGTGTCTCAACCATTCGAGTACAACATTCTGAGTAAAGAAGACTACGGAAGGCTGGCCTTTAGTGCATGCGTATAACAAGCTAAACAGTGCCACTATTCCTGCCCAAACGCCCATCCCCAGGAAAGACATGGCTCTAATCTACATGTCAGGTAGTGTCATCTTTAGCGCCATCGATCTTACCGATGGCTTCTGCCAGATCTTGATGCGACAGAGTAAAAACTCACTCACTGCGGTGAGCACCCCGATTAGTATGCTTTGGGAGTGGCTTGTGATGCCACAAGGATTAAAGAATGCACCAGCCACTTTTTATCGCATGGTATCTCAAGTGTTGAGACCGCTTCAAGACTTTGCTCCTAGCTGCTTCGATGACATGTTTGTCCACAGTCGCGCTGAGGGCAACCTCAGTGCTGTCCAAGTTCACCTTCAACACCCGAATTAGGTGTTTTAAGTCATGCAGGATAACAAGTTGTACGTAAACTTGAAGAAGTGTGTAGTCTGTGCACCGGAGATTCCGGTGCTGGGCTGCTACGTGAGTAAATCGGGAGTTCGAGCCAATTTAGAAAAGGTGCCGTCAATCTGTTCTTGGTCCACACTCAAAATTCCTTAGGAGTTGCGTCAATGGCTCGGTCTAGCTAATTACTTGCATAAGCACACAAAGGATTCCGCCGGTTCTATACAGCCTCTGTCGTCACTTTAAGGAAGACGCCACGTAGTCGAAGCGTCCCGAACATCAAGCTGCCTTTGACGCAGTAGAGAAAAAACTGGCGTCGGCGCCAGTGTTGATTGTCCCTGACGACACCAAGCCGTTCCACGTGGTGTGTGATGCAATTGACTTTGCAATTGTTTGCGCCCTCATGCAGTTTGATCATGAGGGCCGTGAAAGAGTCTTGAGTTACCAATCACGACAGATGAAGCCGGCGGAGAAGAACTATCCAGTCCACTGTAAAGAGATATTTGCTATGCGCTACGTACTCATTAAGTTTAATGTCCGCCTACTGGGCGAACGCACGTTCGCCCTGTATACAGATCATGCATCGCTGCAAACAGCGATGAAGTGCCCACACCTGTCACAACGGATGGCACAGTGGCTCTCTTTCTTCTCCGAGTACAACTTCGTCGTGCACTACAAGCCAGGAAAGACTAACATTCTTTTTGACGCACTGTCACGACGTACAGATTACGATCCTCGTATGGCACTGAGTCGTCGGGCAACTGACGACGACGATGAAGACAATCGATGTGCGACGTGTGTGTCATTAAATCTAACTCGGGTTACACCTGAGTTATGCCTTAACGATGAAATTGTCGCGGCTTACGCGAACTATCCGGATTACGCGGACACGATTGTCTATCTGCCTGCTCCCAGTGATGCTGCAGTGGGAGCTCTTTCGCGAACGAAGCGTGAACACATTCAATGACGCAGTATAGATGGTGATTTGCTGTTATACAGCATCGATAAATTCGATGCACCTCGAAAGGTGATTGCGAATGACTTGGATTTGCGTGCTTTTATGATCTACGAGTACCATGATGCCCCGATTGGCAGTCATCTGGGCCACAAAAAAGACATACGCGGCTGTCTCACGTGACTGCTTCTGGCCCCACATGTACAAGTGATTTCGCGACTGGGTTCGCACCTGCGAAATATGTCAGCGCGTAAAGCCATCTCCATTGTCGCAGGCACCCCTGCGACCCCTGCTGATTGCCAGTGAGGTTTGGTTCTCAGTTTCAATGGAATTAATCTTCGGGCTTGCACCCGATGGCCAAGATCGAACGGGTATTCTGGTCTTTGTGGGCAGATTCAGCAAAACAACACATCTGATGCCTATTCATGCAACGATCACCGCGGCTGAGACCGCGGTCCACTTCATTGACTCTGTGTTTCGCCATCACGTTCTACCAGACAACATTGTCTTGGACTGTGATCCTCATTTAACATCTGCTTTTTGGACGTCTTTGTTCGAGTTCCTTGGTACAAAGCCGCAAATGTCGACAGCAGCCCATCCGGAACCGGATGGGCAAACACGGAGAGTAAATCGGGTCTTCGAAGATGTTTTTATAGGTTACGCGACTTCCTTTACGAGTTGGAGTGATTTTGCCTTGCGTGGAGTTTGCACTCAACAACGCGGTTCACGCGTCAACGGGGTTGACGCCATTTTTTGCAAACTCGGCCCGTCATCCTCGTGCACTTACTCTTCTTACCGTGGGTCCACCCCCGGCTCTTCGTGGCTCCAGTCTGGCGGGGGGGGTGATAGTGGCAAAAAACGATCGAGTGCAGCTCATAGTATTCTGAGCGCGAATGTTGTCACCCAATCCAAGATGAAGCGTTCTGTTTTGACGCCACATGGTGTGGCGTCCCCGCTAGCTCAGAGGACTGCATAGACGCTGATTACCCCTTCTTTGGGTGTGCGAAGACCTCAAGCAAACTACGCGCCGATTGAATCGGCGCGACCAATTGATAACATGGCTGTGTCAGAGTTTATACTCCAACTTCAAGCCATCACAAGCGTTGTACGCGATAATCGTCGATCTGCAGTCGAAAAACAGAAAGCGAATGCAGACAAACGTGGCAGAAACAACACGAGTACATTCAAAAGGGTGATCTTGTATTGTTATCTACTGAAGTCCTACGAGATTCAGCAGTAACCATTCTCGGCGCGAGCAAACTCGCGCCACGTTTCATCGGACCATTAACGGTACTCAAGGCGATCGGCGACGCAAATACGCTGGACATCCGTTCTTCACTGCGACTTCACCCGACGTTTTACGTCGGACGGCTCAAGGAGTATCGTCCAGCTACGCTTCACGAATTGGCTCCGTCCTCGGAGTCGAAGGCTCATAGGTCGAACTTTCCTCTCGCCTTGCTCGACGTGCCAGCTACATCGGACGCGGCTGCGTCCCAGCCTGCGCGTGCCCGAGAACCTGGCGTTCCAGGTCCCGCCTATGTTCAAGCAGCTCGCGGTTCGACTGAGGAATCTTGCTCGCTGTTCTCTCAGCCTGCGCAGCTCGAGCAAGGGCAGCATCAGCATCCAGCTGGGCATCGACATCCTCGTTCAGAGCCGCGTCTACATCGTCCTGGGTAACCAGGACGCCGGCAGTACCATCGCGAGGGCTCACCACCGCTTGTGGACGCGGAAGATCAGAAGCGCTGGATCGTGGAACGCTTATTGGGTCACGAGGGCCCTCGTCGCGACACGAAGTTGTCGCGACTTCATGAGCGCGCGGTTCCAACCGCGCGCAAGTATCGTGTACGTTGGCTCAATTTTCCAAACGAGCAGGATAAGTGGGAGCCGCGCTCTTCCCTTCTTCAAGACGTTCTAGACTGTCATTCAATCTTAAAAGTCCGTACATACGCTTGGTTCAGATTTGGTCGACGACCTGAGTTTTCTCGTGGTGAGCGAGAACGAGACGAACGACGACTCCGTCGTGGTGAAGCGTCACCTCGATTGCGAGAAAGTCGTGGTGAAACGTCACCGCGACGACGAGATGAAGAACGACGACGAGAACGTCGTGTTGAACGTGTATCGCAACCACCACGCGAACGAGACGTCGTACCGAGCGTGTGGCACCACGACATCGAGAACGCGGGTGGTGTCGCTTGCGTGACGCGCCACGATTAACCGCGGTCTTGCGCTCCATCAAGCTGCGCTTAAACCGTCCGATCCGGAGCTGTTTATATTTGCTGAGCGGATATTTTCAGCGACGTGTCGTTGCCAAGTTTCGCCAGTTGGACGAGGCATCGAGTCACAAGAGTAACAGGATTTGTGCACGTGAACGGAGCAGAGTCGATCTACGTTCCACGCGTTCTCGCATATCTTCTCGCGCAGTACACCAATTGAGTGATCGGCGTGGATATCTTCGCGGTTGGCAAGCCACTGCTGAAAGTTTCTTCCGTCTTCGAGCATCCGGTTCCACCGCCGGATGAATGCACACCAAGACCGCTGGAGTGACTCGTACGGGATACCACCAAGACTCTTCCCACGCAAAACACGGAAACGCCGAAAGTAATCCTGCATCGTATTAAGAGAGTCCGGAGCTCGAGGTCCGGACAAGTCGTGCAGCGCCTAAGGGATCAGATGCTGGTCCATCACGTTGTCAATCTAACTCCCGCTGACATTGCGCGGGAGTGCTATGGTGTTGGCGTTGGCGTCTTCAGTCATCGTTTAACTTGTGCGTCCGTTGGGTCTTGTGGTTGAGCACTCACTGTTCGTGAGTGCTGTCTTGAGAAGGGGGTGATCTAATGGGCCACCCCTTTACGTAAAGTAGTTTCGATTAAGTTTACCTGTTACTGAAGTAGGGGGGTTACTTTCGAAGTAGCGAAAGTTGCATGTCGTATGTTTAGCTGGTTTAATGGGCTCAGTACCACATTCAGCCAGTAAGATATAGGCACGTAGATTGAGTGGTTCCCATGAGTCCAAGGGAACCATTCGTACTTCGGATGATTAAAAGACAAAAAGTAAAACAGAGTTAAAGTACTTAGTACCTAAGACTTAAGCTTTGGGGCTTCTTCAAAGCGTAGAATAGTGTAAGCTAAGCACGGGTTGTTCTTGCCCCGTTACAGATTTTAGCAACAGGTTCTGCAAACGTGTTGAGCGTATTTAGGATGCTATTTATGCTTGTCGAGCGTGTTAGCATCGCATTGGCAAGTAAACTTTCTTCATCAGTGAAAGGTTTTATACGCGTTTATTGAAACCAATTATGTTGTGTGTCTACACCAAGTAAAGATTGGTGGATCTGAGTGGTACAAATCTTGGAACCATGTACTTACGGTAATACCACACCTTATCGGCTTGGGAAAGTGGACAAGACTCCTGTCATAGGATCGCAAAGTAGAGGTCATTCAGACAAAGGTTTAGGGTATTGTTAACTATAAAAATAAACAAATTAGTTTTTGAATGTTGGAACAATCTTGTAAAGGATAATGTGTTGTAGAGGTATTTGTAAAGGGAATGGTATAGTAGGGTGTGATTGTGTTGTGATGGAAATTGTTAAGCTTGTACGCTTGAACGACTGTACGTCGTTGGTAGTTTTTCACAACTAAAAGACTCTTTAAATCCAAGACTTTCTCTTTATAATAAGCTCTAAGTAGATCCGATCCATTCCTTAGTTTGACTGTAACCGCATACATGGGAAAAGAAGGTGGAATCTCCTCCTACGGATTAGACAGGTGGGTATGGCCAAGAATTCTTATATGCTCTGTTAAGAGTATAGGTGAGCTGGGATAGATATCTCAAAACCGAGTGGTAAAGCTAAGGAATGGACTCTTAAGCTTAACACGTCGGTAGAGGAACTACATCCGATAAATATTTGCAAAAACAGCAAATATACTAGGTGTTTGGTCAGCCTAATCTGGCACAATGGATTTTTTTCTCGTTTCCTACATGTTAGCCTCTACAAAGAGCAATATCACTCTACCCAAGAACCGAGTACTTAAAAATCTATGCTGCAGCTTTACACCTTACCAGAAATGATTTCGTTTACCATCTTTATGGAGGGCCTTCGCACGGGTGTGCCTCTAGCGGAAAATTCCCTGGTAAACCGCACCTAATTTGAGGCGTTAAAAATATATTGCAAGAAAGTCAAGTTCAGCTTTAAGGCAGCCCACTTGGCACACTTGAGTAGAATTTAACGTTGTCGAACAACTTAAGTTTTGTTCATCAGACCGGATCCTATGTGATCCGAACTCGACGGGACGACAGAAGATCCAAAGCTTTGTGCTACTGACCAAAATTGTACCATTCAACGAATTTTATGTGAAGAAAGCGTAAGAGCCTGCGAACTGGTTGCCCTTTACGCTAAGAATGACAGGATACTTCAAGTTAAAACCCTGCCGCTAACGAGAATTCTGGCACGGTCCAGATATACCTGGAAATCATAGTAGGCGCGAGGAGCCCTGCTGGGGTAGATCTAGGCTTTAGTGAGCCTCTTGTGGTAGAAGATAATTGAATTTAGCAACAAGGAGCTTCGTGTATGCCAACGCGAGGCGTAAGTACAATCCAGTCTCGTGGTGTCGAAAGCGAGTGTCAAGGGCTTATAAAAATCCAATTGATTTTTACCGACTTCAGTGCATAAAATGAAAATGTTAGACAATGTTTTTATTAAAGATTTCAAAGTTGTGATGAGGCGCTAATAGAGCAAAAGGGTTTTATGATTTACCGTTTGATTAGCGACACAGACTCTAGTCACCACACTCAAAGATTTTAGAACTTAGGTATGCCATTTTCGAGTTTAGCATTATCGAACGCGGATATGTCCTTGTTGTGGTATCGAGATATGATGCTAATCAGGGTACGGCTTGGCTTGAGAGCCATGAGTCAGGTATCGACTAGAGGTCGAAAAAACTAAACGCCACGCTCACTAGCCCTATCGGAGCTTGGAGATTCATTATTCCACCTCTATTAAGAATCAGAAGCGATATTATAGCTAACGACTAGCTGACAGTTCAGCCTGTTGGATATCAGAAGACCAATATAATGTTGATTTTGACGATACCAAAGACGCGAGTATGGAGCAAAGCTCGTTATGTGATAGTAATACGGCACTTATTCCGTTATGCGATGATCATCGTGGGAACTACGTACTGATTGATGATGGCATTGTTGACCAAGCACAAGTCACTTAGAGTAAAACCCATCACTTGAGTTGGGAAGTGGTCATTAAGTACCTACGGATAGACGTTGGCAGTGATAGCGACGCGCTGAATGTAGACATTGACTATTTAGGGAAATACTAAGGCATCCCGAGCTCATCTCAGCGTATGCACGGTAAGTGGAATGTATTAAACGTGATGACGGAAGTTACATTGGCTCTAATTTAGAGCAAATTGCATTTGGTGATAATGTCATTTAAAGAAAACAGTTCACATAGCGTGTTCTGTGTCACAAAGTGAAAATAACTAGTAGCTGTATACACTCGTCAACAGGGTGACTGGTGCGTGTGATGGTACAAATGATCCTTGAGACTACACCCTCATGTTAAGTTTGCTAATGATTTTCAAAGAGTTGTAGTCCAATGATTTCGATTACTAACTAAAGAACGGATATTTTTAAAGGTACTGGTCATTCAACCCGACGTCAAAAATTTGTGCTATTCTTTACTTTTAGATAAAGCCATTCTAGAGGACACAAATGCAGCACTCACCGCGCATAGTAAGTCTTTAAAATTGATGGACCCCTAGAACCTCTTTCATTTCTTTATTTAGGAAATGTCAAGATGTGGTGAGCCACGACCCCCCTCCCCTCGGTTATACTATGTGAAAGAGGGTTCCATTATGAAATGACCTTATTCATGGGACTAAATGCTGTGCCACACCACAGTGGCCCTGCCTAAAAAACAATATGATGTAATCGATGACTTCTTCGGTGCCAAGCATGAGGCAGTTATGGTACGTCAAAGAAAATCTCTTCTTTGACATTGACATTTGTGTCTATATGCGGAACGGCAAGTGGCGTAGTGTGCATGCTTTTGATAAGCTTATTGCGGCTACTATTTCGGCACAGACATCCATATTTCGTAAGTTTGTTCTTAGTAGCAACACTTTTGGGTGTGTATGTATAGTGCACTCACCTTGGTCGTCAATTTTTATTGATGTTCATTCGAGCGAGTGATACATCGCTTACAACAGCGAGCACTCGGATTTGCATGCTATAGAAACGTCTGGGTGATACCCATAAGGTCTGTCTATTGCTGCGACAACTTTATTTTCTGGAGACGCAACTATTTCGCCTACATCGGGAATACGCAAATTTGTACTTTGATGAGCTTTTGCCCTTGGTTGTGCCGAATAAGGTTGGCCAGGTTTTGAAAATCACATCGATCATCTGCAAGCCGTGATAGAGCACATGCGCACGAAGGAAACTGTGCTTTAACGCTTCAATGTGAAACTTAAGTGCAAATTGAATTCATATTTTTAGGTGTTTCATTAGCAGGCGCGGACTGAAAGTTGATCCCGCTAAGCTCGAGGACGTTGTGGACTGGCCGATTCCTTGGAATCAACAAGGCTTGCAAAACGAGTTTTTCCTTGCCGATTGCTTACACATAAACAGCGAAAGTTGCGCTGATACGGCTCGCGCATGAACCGTTCTACTTAAGAAGGACACATATTGGCGCTGAGGTAACACCTACGCTGGAGCCTATCGGGCAATACATCATTTCTACTTTACGCTCACATTTGGCCTCGCTAAATTCTAATAATGTTACTGTTAATTGCAATTCATCTGACTTTACCATAGGCAGCTCCCTTTTATAAATTGTGCTGCCATTCGCGAGCGCGTTGTCGAACTTAAATCTCGATAGCTTAGAGATGCTGAAGAAAGATTTATCTCATCGTAAGGATAACTTCCTATATAGCATGTGATCGTCAAACTTATGCTTCACCCGATTGCATCGAGCCATTCGTCGTCTGTACGAATTATGCAGTATAATGCACAGGACACGTTCGCCTTAAATCTATTAGAAGATGGCTCGATGAGTTATCTTCTTTGCGAATTGCAACTTCGAGGTAACGTATAAGTCAGGAAAACAATGTGTGTTGGTATCTGTTTTCTCCCACCTTTATGATAATGAGTTTGCTCACGTGATGACTTTATCGTCATAAACTGAGGAGT